CACAGAGCCGGCCGCGAGCACCACCGCGACGTTCTCCTCGCGTGGGGGGCGGGACATGCGGCGAGGCAGGGATGAGCAGGAGAACCAGGTGGGAGCAAGGGTACGCTCAGGTCGCGCCTGGCCCCCTACAGGCCGATGTTCGAGGAAACCATAAAAAACAGAGCCCGAACATGCTCAAGAATGGTCAAAGCATACTCACAAATGGTCACCACATGGTCAACATGCTCAAAAATGGTCAAAACATACTCAAACAAATAGTCCAAGCAAAATCACAAATTGTCGAGCATGGTCCAACATACTCAAAAAGGGTCGTCCCTGACGATGTCTTTTCACCATGTTTGAACATTCCTCCTGTAGAGGCACAGGGGCCCGACGGGAGGGTACGCCGCAGGGGCCTCTCCCCATCCTGCCCGGGCGGGGCCCCCGCCCGCCACCGCGGCAGCACCGGCCACCGCGGCAGGCAGGAGCGCGAGGGCTTGGCGGCCTTCCCGCCGCAGCAGCGGCCGCCTCGGCCTCCAGGCGGCGGCCCGCGCGAGGGGGCCGCGAGCTGGTGGGCTCGTTCTCCACCACCATCACCACCACCACCAGAAGTATGAGGGGGAGGCGTCGTCCTCCTCCTCCTCCTCCTCCTCCTCCTCCTCCTCCTCCTCCACCTTCCCCCCTCCAACTTATGGTGGTGGCGGTGGAAAACACGCCCATGACGAGCTGCTGCACGAGCGGGCCATGCGAGAGACGGCGGCTGGCACGCCCCGGTCGGGATCGGCGGCATGACGACTTGTCGGCGGTGGACAAACCTCCCTTTAGCAAGCCACCCTTTAGCGAAAACGGCCCGGGGAACCGAAACCGACGGACCTGGACCCGCAACAATGACGGCCGCGACGCCATCTCGCGAACCGAAAACGGCCAGCTTGCTACAGTCGGGGCGTTGACCTAAGGAACCCTAAATAAGGAACGAGGCCCCTTTTTCCCATAAGTTACACCTCGATCTCCCACGGAAAACCTCATGAAAACCCAAGGCAAGCTGTAGCACAATCAAGGAACACCGAGCCCCTCCCCAACGAAAAGGGTTCCTTCTTACTCCCGTAAACCTCCTGGGAACCCCCAAAGCCTAGAGCCGCCAGGACGCGGCACATCACGCAGGGTTTACCCTGTCAGCCCGCAGGAGTTTCAGCGCACAGCGCCTCGTAAACCAGGGTAGGGGCGTTTTTTATGCCCCTGAGAAAACGGCCAATTTGCTAATCGACGTGTCAGGGCAGGAGGCCCATCAGCCTCCGAACTCGGTGGGCTGGCCGTGCGGACGGAGCACTGCCTGGCGCCACGCGCCAGGCGCCAGCTGCCACAACGTCTGCACTCCGTGGTGGTCCAGGTCCGGACCTTTGTGGGCCCCGGAAACGGGAGGGCCGTTTTTTCACCGTTTCCCCAAAAAATGCCCTTGAAAATGGAAACGGGGGAAAAAAAGCGACCGGAAACGGCAAAAAAACTGCTCCAGGATTGGAACCCGACCAGGAACCGGTAAAAAAACGGCGACGGAACCGGTAAAACAACGGCGTCGGAACCGGCACAAAAACAGCAAAACAGAACCGGTAAAAAAACGGCCCTGTCGTTTCCAGGGCCCACTAAGGTCCGGACCCCCCCAGTTACAAAAAAGGCGCCTTAAAAAACCGGACCCGGGGGACGATTAATCAGGGATTTGGGAGAAGTCTTCTCAGGGCTGTCTCGCCCCACCCCACCCCGCACCCCAACACAGCGTGCACCATGCTTCCTCGCGAGCGCCAACCGCTCCCGAGGCTCTCTGGGGGGCCCGACGAACTCCCCAGGGCTTTCCCGAGGCTCCCCGATGCTCCCAAGACAGCCCGGGAAGGCCACCGAGGCCGCCCAGCTGCCTGCAACATTGCGTCCGACGCTCGAGCTCACCGGCAACACGCTGAACATCGTCTACGTGCCTGGCCGTGTAGTTCCCGCACGCCCAACACTATCTCAAGAGGTGCCCAGCGGCTCTCACGAGCACACCCAGAAGTGCCGAAAAGGGGGCCCGAGAGGTTTCCAAGACACAGGGAGCGAATGTCAGGAAGCCCACCAGTAAGGCCCAACAACTCATTCAGTGTGCCTGGCGAAAGATCCAGTTATATGCAGCTGCGAAAAGCGCAAGGTGGGCCCTCTCATCTTAGGCAGCGCGCGTTCTGGGCCTTTCGGTGGAATTCGCTATGAGGCCACGAAGCGTGCGAGGGATGCGCCGACATGGACGGGGCAGCGCCATGCGGCAGGGGATCGTGCCAAGGAGCTCCAGCGCCGCGATGGCCCTGTTCGGGCTTTTTGCCTTGGCCCACGCCCGAGCGAACCATTCCTTCTCTACCTCCAGCGCGTACCGACGAGTTCCTCGCGCGTTTCCAAGAGGCCACTCCTTTTCCTCCCTCTCCCCCCTCCTCCTCTGTCTTCCCTCCCCCATGGGCTACCCCCAAGGGTTCCCCCAAAGGGCTTTCCCCGAAGGGCTCCCAGAACGGCTCGGGAGCACACAGTCCGATAGCATGGCCAGACTTGGGCCGAACCTTTGGCCACATAGGCGTCAGGGGGCGGCGGGTGCTCGCCGTAGGCGTCTTCGATAACACAAGAAAGCGTCAGGCGCGCTCTGGGGGCAGAGCGAGAGCGGCATGCCATGTCCGGTGAAATGTCGCGGACCGCGCTCGAAGCAACCACCTGGCAGGGAGACCGCTCGCAGCAGCAGGACTCCACTGATCCCCATCTTCCTGCTACTCTTACGTCTTGGTATCGTCCCAAACCCCACTCCACCCTTCTCCCTCGTCATCATCGTTCGAAGCATCACCATGATAATCATCATCACCACCACCATCATCAGCAACATCGTCATCATCATCATCAGCACCATCAGCATCACCACCATCATCATCATCATCATCATCATCATCATCAACAACAACAACAGCATCATAACCATCGCCATCGCCACCACCATCACCGTCATCATCAGCATCATCATCACCATGATCATCACCATCGTCATCGTCATCATCGTTATCATCATCAGCATCATCATCGTCATCGTCATCGTCGTCGTCATCTTCATCGTCATCATCATCATCATCATCGTCATCATCATCTCCTCCTCATCATTATCATCATCACCAGTGAAACCATCATCATCACCATCATCAACCCACTCCTCTCCCCCCTCCTGCTCCTGCGTCCACGCATCAACCTCACCCTCCTCCTCATCATCCCATTTCTCATCCGAATGAACAGCCCTCTTCCTCTTCCTCGTGTTCGTCCTCTTTCTTCTCCTCCTCCTCCTCCTCCTTCTCCTCCTCCTCCCCCTCGTATTCTCCCTCCCCCTTGTATTCTTCCTCCTCCCCTCTTCTCCCGCCTCCTGGTTCTACCCCTTCCGCTCCCCACCCGACGAGGACGAGCAGCGACGAGCGAGGACAAACGGACGGGCAACGGCGAACGAACGACGACGAACGACGAACGGCGAACGACGCAGAGACGAACGAACGACGACGAGCCGCGAACGACGACGACGGACGTCTGACGACGACCGACGACGAGCAGCGAACGACGATGACTGCACGGCGGCCCCGAGGGGCGGGGGCACGCAGCGCGCCACGCGGCGGGCACGCCTCGCTGCCCCCCCCCCCCCCCTCCGCCCCTCCGCTGCCTCGCCCCGCTCGCGCGGCCCGCCTGCACGCCCATCGCATCTCACCTGGCTCCTCCCCCGTCGCCCTCGTTCGTCCGCCTTCGTCCTCCCACTCCTCCTCCTTCGCCGTCGTCCTCCTGCGCATCGCCGTCCGTCGCTCTTCCTCATCGTCCCCCGTCCCTCGTCCGTCCTCCTTCTCCTCTTCCTCCTACTCCGCCCCCTCCTCACCCTCTCGCATCTCTCCTCCGTTCTCAGCATCCTCGCCGTCGTCGTCGCCGTCCTCCTTCAAGGCTTCTCCCCTCTCACACACCTCCTCATCATCATGTACATCTCTTGTCGGTCATTCCCCTCCTTCGTCCCTCTTCCCTGCAATAGTAGCACGACAAGTGCACGTCGAACATGAGTCCGAATTCGAAATGTTCGACTACGGTGTAGCCCCTGAATATTGTCCGTGTTCGCAGGCGTCGGTACGTCTGCATTCGTGCGCGTGTGCGAGAGCACACACGCGTACAAATGTAGATGCACCAAGGGGCGTCCATGCTACGTCTGCTCGTCCCTTCCTCTCGCCGTTCTCCTCCAGCTTTCCGTCCGACTCCCCATCTCTCTGTCTGTGGATCTCTGTCTCTCTCTCCCTGTCTCTCTATATACCGTGCTCTGTCCTTCTCTCATTCTCACTCTCACGCTCTCTCTTTTTTTTTTTTTTTCTCTCTCTCTCTCTCTCTCTTTCGCTCTCTCCCTCTCTGTACACACACATGTGCATATATATATATATATATGTACACATCCATCTACGTATAGGTTACACGCCCAACCCCTGTCATCGACATATGGCCTTCTTCCGGGGATCGACAAAGGAGAAGGAGATAGAGGCGGCGCTGGGGGGGAGAGGGCGTCGAAAACCAACAAAAACATAAGCGATTACCAAAAACACAAGGACAACCAGTAACATCTAATCCCCCAGACATGCGCATCAACGAAATACTGGCCACGGATGGCGTTCGGACGGGAAACATTGAAAAGCCTTCGGTGTTGATTTGTGCTTCTGATGTCGTTGATGATTGACTCTGGGTCTATGATTTTGTTCCTTACGTATTAGATGATTTGCCTGTTTTTGTTGGTTTCTTCCACCCCGCGCCCAGCTGGGGCGTCTCCCTGGGAGGCGGGGGGGGTAGGCGGCGCTGGGGGGGGGAGAGAGCGCCGAAGACCAACCAAAACAGGAACACCAACCAGAACACAAGGAAAAATAGTTCAATCATACCCCCCAGACAAAATAATTGAATTAAAGCCCCGATTGGCTTTCGAACGGGAGACATTGAAACACCTCAAGTGTTCATTTGGTTGTTTCACACAGGCCAAGCGGGGCATTGATTTCGTCGACTTGCTTATCTGGGGGCTCTGAGTTTCCTGTGCTTCCTTGTGGGTTGGTTGGTTCTCCTGCTTTTGCTTGTTTCTGCCTTCCCGCGCCTAGCTGGGGCGTCTCCCGGCTGTGCGGGAGGAGGCGGCGCTGTTGGGGAGAGGGCGCCGAAAACCAACAAAACAAATTCAAATCAATCAGAGGCAGCAGCGTGGGATCCAGATTCCCCACTGCAATGTCCTGGCGGAGATCCGCGGGCAACGCCTCCTCCTCCTCCTCCTCCTCCTCCTCCTCGTCCTTCCCCTCCTTCACGTCCCCCTGGTCCTCCATCTTCCTATCGTGCCATTGGGCTTCTTCCTCCACCAACACATGCCCCTGCACCCCCCTGGACCACGACCACCGCTGCATCACCCTCATCATCGTCGTGGTCCCCCTCCTCCTCCTCCTCCTCCTCCTCCTCCTCTTCCTGGCAGTCCTCACCCGTTGGCGGGTTGGAATGTGTCGCCTTGTTGCGGTTGCGGTTGCGGCCGTGGACTGGTTGAAATGTGTCGCCTAGTGGCGGTTGCGGTTGCGGTTGCGCCCGCGGGCGGTGTGAAATGTGTCGCCTAGTTGCTGTGGTGGCTCTGGCCGTGGACTGGTTGAAATGTGTCGCATATTTACGGTTGTGGTTGCGGTCGCGCCCGCGGGCCTGTGGAATGTGTCGCCTAGTGGCGGTTGTGGTTGCGCCCGCAGGCGGTCTGAAATGCGTCGTCAAATTGCGGTTGCGGTGGCGGTTGCGGTTGCGCCCGCGTGTGGGTTGAAATGCGTCGCCTAGTTGCAGTTGTGGTTGCGCACGCAGGCTGGTTGAAATGCGTCGCATAGTTGCGGTTGCGGTTGCGGTTGCGCACGTGGGCGGGTTGAAATGCGTCGACTAGTTGAGATTGCGGTCGCGCCCGCGGGCGGACTGAAATGCGTCGCCTAATTGCGGTTCAGGCTGCGGTTGCGCACGCGGGCGGGTTGAAATGCGTCGCCTGGTTGCGGTTGCGGCTGCGCCCACGGGCGCGTTGAAATGCGTCGCCTAATTGCGGTTGCGGTTGCGGTTGCGCCCGCGGGCGCGTTGAAATGCGACCCGTAGTTGCCGTTGCGGTTGCGCCCGCAGGCGGTCTGAACTGCGTCGCCCTGTTGCGATTGCGGTTGCGGTTGCGCCCGCGGGCGGGTCGAAGTGCGTCGCCTAGATGCGGTTGCGGTTGCGGTTGCGCCCGCGGGCGGGTTGGAATGCGTCGCCTAGTTGCGGTTGCGGTTGCGCACGTGGGCGGGTTGAAATGCGCCGCCTAGTTGCAGTTGCGGTTGCGCCCGCAGGCGGGTTGAAATATGTCGCTGAGTTGCGGATGCGGTTGCGGTTGCGCACGCCGGCGGGTTGACATGTGTCGCCTAGTTGCGGTTGCGTTCGATCGCGCGGGTGTGTTGAAATGCGTCGACCAGTTACAGTTGCGATTGCGGTTGCACCGGCGGGCGGGTTGAAATGTGTCGCCTGGCTGCGTTTACGGTTGCGGTTGTGCACGCGGGCGGGTTGTAATGCGTCGCCGAATTGCGGTTGCGGCTGCGCCTGCGGGCGCGTCGAAATGCGTCGCCTGGTTACGGTTGCGTTTGCGGTTGCGCACGCGGGCGGGTTGAAATGCGTCGCCTAGTTGCGGTTACGGTTGCGCCCGCGGGCGGTCTGAAAGACGTGGCCCAATTGCGGTTGCGGTTGCGGATGCGCCCGCGGGCGGGTTGAGATGCGTCGTCTAATTGCGCACATGGGCGGATTGAAACGCGTTGCCTAGTTGCGGTTGCGGTTGCGGCTGCGACCGCGGGCGGGTTGAAATGAGTCGCCTGGTCAGCGTTGCCTCGTTGCGGTTGCGCAGGAAGGCGGCATGACATGCGTCGCCTAATTGCGATTGCGATTGCGCGCGCGGGCGGTCTGAAAGACGTGACCCAGTTGCGGTTGCGGTTGCGGATGCGCCCGCGGGCGGTGTGAAATGCGTCGTCTATTTGCGGCTGCGGCTGCGCACGTGGGCGGATTGAAATGCGTTGCCTAGTTGCGGTTGCGGTTGCGACTGCGACCGCGGGCGGGTTGAAATGAGTCGCCTTGTTGCGGTTGCGGTTGCGGTTGCGCAAGAGGGCGGCTTGACATGCGTCGCCTAATTGCGATTGCGATTGCGCGCGCGGGCGGGTTGAAATGTGTCGCCTAGCTGCAGCTAATTACGGTCGCGGGTGCGCCCGCATCCTGGTTGAATTGTGTCGCCTAGATGCGGGCGCGGTTGCGCGCGCGGGCGGGTTGAAACGCATCGCCTGGTTGCCGTTGCGGTTGTGCCCGCTGGCAGTCTGAAATTTGTCGCCTAGTTGCGGTTGCTGTTTGCGCCCGCGGTCGGGCTGAAATGCGCAGTCTAGTTGCGGTTGCGGTTGCGCCCGCGGGCGGGTTGAAATATGTCGCCTAGTTGCGGCTGCGGTTGCGCACGCGGGCGGGTCGAAATGCGTCGCCTAGATGCCGTTGCGGTTGTGCGCGTGGGCGGGTTGAAATGCGTCGCCTAGTGGAGGTTGTGGCTGCGCCCGCAGGCGGGTAGGAATGTGTCGCCGAGTGGAGGTTGCCGATGCGGTTGCGCCCGCGGTTGCGGTTGCGGTTGCGCACGCCGGCGGGTTGAAATGCGCCGCCTAGTTGCGGTTGCGGTTGCG